GAGTGTTTGACTGCAGAGCTGAAAAATAACACGAATGATCGTACGTTGATCGCATGCATTCAGAAACAGTTACGATTAAAGAGGTAAAGACACAGATTTCCTGTTCTACTTTATTAAAGGTCCGCTGTTCGTGAAATGCACGGAGAAATATAGACTAAGCTACAAATTTTGAAATACCTTGTTAGTTTTTAATATTTCAAACAACGCTTTTCTCTCGATATATATATACACATACACGTGTGTATAAATTAGGCACTAATTTCCGGAGATATCAGCGAAAATTTCGAAACACATTCTACTTTTTCAAATCATGTAAATTGTTTCGTAGACTTCACGAAATGATACAAATATTTATATGATAAACATTCACGGTTTTTATAATCTTGAAATTGTCATCGAGCTGCTTTATGAATGTGCTGTTTCCAGATTCCAAAATATTGTCGAAAATCCGTGAAACAGTGGACCTAACGACACGTTTACATTCACTGCACGTGCAACGTATTGTATTTTCCTCCAGATACGCGGAAGATGTGATTACTTGTTTTCGTTTCACGGTACTCTTTGTTGTAGCGTTATGCTCATTCCTCATGACACTGTGCGCCGTCATAATGGTCATGGTAAGTAAAACATTTCAGAAGAGACCAATAACACGTTCAACAAACTGACCGTGTGCAACAATTTTATAAACAGAATACACCGGTAACCGTGAAAATGATGTTCCTGCTTCTCACCATGTATTTCCTCATGTATCTCTATATGTATGCATGGCCGGCTGATAACATGAAAGACATGGTACAACACGTACGTAAGAAAAGAAATGGCATCTCTTTAATAATAATTCGAATGTTCGCAGAGTTTGAGCCTCCCGAGAAGCGTGTACGATTTAACGTGGTACGAGCAAACAATGGGAATGCAGAAGAACCTGCTGTACGTGATGATGTATCAGAAACCGGTAACCCTTTCTGTCAAATGTGTGATATCAGAACTCTCTCTGCACTATTACTGCACGGTAAGATTGCCAAACGTCGAAGGATTAGTTTCAATGAGGACCACTTTTCTAATAATTTTAATATTAACTCAGATGTAATCGAAATCCAACGCTTTCATTAACTATAGAAAATGTTGATAAATCCTGGACTTACTCTACAACATGACACGTGTAATTAATTATGGAATCTCGAGGATTCCAGTTTTCGT